GACTGATGGGGAAGCCAGAGCTGCAGCACTTCCCCGCAGCTGAGCAAGACCCTGGGAAAGATGGTCAGCTAATGTCAGCCAGAAGGGGCCTGTACGCAGTCCTGGGGCTTTTGTCAGTCTGAAAAGGGAAGGAGAATGAGGGCTGGGGGCCCAGAAGTGGATCACAAGGTGGATCTCAAGGGTATCTGAAGGGAATGCTGCAGAGAGTGCTCGTACGGGGCCACAGTCAAGAGCCGCAATGAGACTGTTCCAGTTCTGAGCCCACAAGGAGCCGCAGACAGGCAGATGATCAAATGATCATTATCAGATGAGAAACAGCCCTGAGCTCTCCAAGGCCCAGAGGACAACCCAGAAGGCGTCACTGCTCAGAGTTGCCACCCCAGGAACGGTCACCTACCACTCTCCCAGAGAGATTTCTTTGCCTTTGGTGATCTCAAAGCCTCCTCTCTTCATCACGGCTCTCTGAAAGGCATACTGGCAACGAAACACAGGCAAGCGTCAGCACGGAGCGACAGGCTGGGCTTGGGAACACGTGGGTGACAGCCAGGCCAGAAGTGGGGAAAAGACAGGGACTTTAAAGTCGGTGACAGGGAAAAAGACAGCGAGGGAAACCCAACGGTCCGCCCGCGCTCTGCTGGGCTCGTGCTCTGGGAAGCGGGCACTGCCTTGCTGCTCCTAGGTCCTGGGGGACTGGGGGAAAGAAAGAGTGACTACTGCAGTCCCGTCCGCTTTGTCACGGCAGAAGATCTTGTCTTTTCCAACTCCAAACGCACAGCTCATGCTACAAGCATGACCAAATACCAACATGTCCTCTGCGAACAAAGCAGGGTGACGCTCAGGTGGAGAACAAGAGACTTAGAGACAGCGAGATCAGGGTGAAAACACCTCCGCAGAACTGGGCACGCAGCACAGCCCGTGTGCCGGGGGAACAAGCCTGCTTCTGCCCCAAAGTGTCTCCCCCACCTCAGCCTGTGTCTTCCAGAAATCTGCCTCCTTGGAGCTGTTCACCTCACAGTTAATGACCAGGACGTCCGGCAGGCAGCGGATGTTCCGGGTCTGGACCTGCAGAGAGAGCAGGAGATGGAAGCCGGGCAGCACCGAGAGCCCTGGAGAGGCTCAAAACCAGATTTGGCACGTGCTACCCTCTTCCCTCCTGTGACGCCTTTGCGTGCAGAGCTTCCTCCCCACTGCCTGGCCGGGTTCCTGGTGGGTGGGGCTACTGCAAGAGCCACTGAGGCAGGGAGCAGGCTGCTGCTCAGCTCCAGGGGGGGTTTACCTCTGCCCCCTGCCCCAGGGGGATTCAGCTGGGATCTGTGTGATCTGCAAGATGCATTCCAGCGCTCGCACAGCCCAGGAAATACCCCACGCCATGCCAGCTCGCCATCCAGGCCAGGAACCGAATCTCCGGCACCCGCTCAGGAGGTTCCCCACTGACTAATGGAGAAACTGCCCCCTGCTCAGCCGGTGGCATGGGGTACTCACACCCCTCTCCCACCCCCTCCCATAGCCCGTGACGTGCTTGCACCCCATTCCCGGGCTCACCGTGGGCTGGTACTTCTCACAGTTCTCGCACCAGGCTTGTGTGTTCTGCTCCAAGCAGATGCTCCGCTTTAAAATTTGGGCAAACTCATAATCTTTGACCGGCTTTTCTGAAGGGAGAAAGGAGAATAACGTCACCTTCCAACACACAAATCTTTACCAATTTAGCTCAGCCAAACCTCTGGGGTTTTCCTCACAACCACCAGTGAGAAGGTCAACCCCCAAATCTGCCTTTCTGTAGCCAAAAGCTTGGCTGGTTGGAAACCCACCACTAGACCTCGGCTGCTGGGTCTGCCGCAGCCGGGGACAGACCACTGCAGCTCCTCCTCACTGCAGGTGTCTGTCACCCAGAAAAGTCACGGCTCTTCCATACGGATAACAAACCCCACCCGGCCACGGAAATGCAGCAGCGTTAAATCTGCCAGGCCCTGCCCTGCCCAACCCTGCCCGTTACCAGTGCTCTCAGGGTAGGAGAGGGTGAAGAGCAGCGTGGAGGACACGCGGACGGTCTCCTTGCCGCAGCGACACATGCTGCAGTTCTCCATCTCGCAGCTGAACAGCTGCCCAATAACCGAGTCCCCCGAGGAACCAAAGCTGCTGGAGAAGAGCAGCACCGGGTTAGCAGGATCCCGGCAATCCCTGCGGAGCAGGGCTGGCCACTACAGTGGGGGCCCACACATCTCAGGCTGCTCAAACGCCATTTGGGGCCAGCACTCAAATCCCAGCAGCTCTTGGGGAACCAGCCGTCAGGCTTCCAGAGCCGGTGACCTCCACACAGCCCCAACCCACCAAGCAGGGGGGCGAGGCCTAGGAGGGGCAGAGGTTCAGCACAGGGTTCAAACCCAGCTGTAGGGTCAGCCTGCAGCTCCATATGTTCCCATGCAGCCCTCGGGGCAAACGTGGGTGGCAAGAAAGCTCCTTCCTGAGGGATGGATGGGGCCTCTGGGAGCTAGCCCCCCTCCCCAGTTCGGTTACTCCCTGTCCTGTCCCCAGCCCAGGGATCTACCTGCTGCCAGCCCCCCGATATGCCTGTGGTCCCTCCTGCTCCTGGGTTTCCTGGTGCAGCTGAGTAAGGATGAAACGGTTCCAGCTCTGAATCAGCCGCCCCAGGTTCACCTTCCCTGTGGCTTCGTCCGAGTCAGCCAGGATCAGCCCCAGCGCCGAAGCCTCTGGGATTGTGCGGAAAGCCCGCAAAAAGTTGCTTCCCTGGGGATGGGGCAAGAGCGGCATGTCACCAAGGTCAAGTGACAGGACTTTCCACGCTGTCTGATGCCATCACCCGAGGACCCAGCACCACCCAGCTCCTGCTCCTCTGCGATCTCTCTGACCCTCCCAGGCAGCCCAGCCCCCCGGCCTCGCGCCACGCCTGGGCTCACCACAGACCTGGCAGGGGTCTCCTCGGGACAGGTCCAGCATATGGAAGAGCAAGCCCAGCTCGCAGCCCAGGCAGAACTCCTTCTGGCACAGGTGGTTCTGGACCAGGCAGCGGACTGGCTCCAAGAAATACAGCACCTAGGCAGAGCCAGAGCAGTCAGGGGAGGTCCCGGGGGCCGCGGTGGCCTGGGCAGGGCTGGGGCATCTCCCACCTGGATCATGCAGTTGCAGTAGGCGTTGGGGATATGGGGCTCCAGGCCCGCAAACAGCGTCTTGTTGTAATGCTTGAAGTCAAAGTCTTCCAGCCCCAGCTTGGAGTATTTGATCGTGACCTGAGCAGAGAGGCAACGTGTTAAACAAGCACCTTCCCACACCACGGGACTCCGGCACAACGCCTTGGGGCTCCCCACAGAGCTGGGGGCAGGTGCTTGGGCCCAGGCGAGTCCTTCGCCCCAGACAAGCCCGGCCTGGGGGCTCCCAGCCAGCCCCCTCCCCTTGCCCTGGAAGGCCACTACCTTCCTGTACTTCTTGGCCACCATGTAGAGGTGCGGCTCCTCTTCCCGCCCAATCGGGGACTCGGGGACTTGGCTGAAGCTGTCGAACTCATTGTCTGTCTCTTTTAACCGATAAGGAATCTGCAAGGGGGAAGAGAA